GTGCAAGGCAATGTCTTTTCCTCTGGGCACAGGCACTCCCGGTGGGTACTCCTCACTTCCAGTCTATTATTCGGCTTGCTCCATTGTTTGGTACTTGTTGCGCACAAGGGATGCGATAACGTTGCGTGGATTTTGCTTAAAGTCCTTGTCCTTTAACAGCTTCTCGTAGGACTTTACACGATTTACCATGTCGGTGCGCTTCTTTTTGATCTTTTGCTTGACGCTTAGCTGTTCCTCGGGCTCGGTGAGCGACTGCTGCTCTGGTGCATCCTTCGACTTGCTCTTCACCAGCTTGTAGAGATCCGAGAGCGAGGGCAGGGCATCGCGCAGCGGCTTCAGATCACCAATTACGTTCTTCTTCTCGCCTTTCTGGCTGGACTGGTCCTTCTTGCGCTCCTTTCGAGAGTCAGCGAAACGTTGCAATAGCTTCTTGTGCTTGAGCGCCGATTTTTCCTTCTTTGTTGTTGTCTTCTTGGGCGTGAGGGTCTTGTGCAGCAGTTTCTCCTGGCGCTCCGACTTGTTCAGCTGCGCCTGCACATCCTGTGCCTTCTGCTTGGCCATGCCCACCGCTCCTTTAGCCTTTGCGCGTATATTTTTCTTGGTTTTTGCCATGTTTCTTGAATTTTATTGAATCAAAACAAATGCGAAACGTGCTTGCGGGCTGATAACAGTGTGGCCATATATCGATAGCGATAGCAACTTCTGGTATCGGAAGACAGCTGATTGGCGGCCGCATAGTTTATAAACAATTTGTATTAGCAATTTTAAGCGAAATGGACTACGACTTTAAAATGAAAACGCAAATGGAGCGCACCAAGGTGGAGGATCTGTTCAACTACGAGGGCTGCAAGGTGGGCCGCGGCACCTACGGCCACGTGTACAAGGCCAAGTGGAAGGAGACGAGGTAAGACCGGCAGCAGGAATCAAATCCCTAAACACTGAGTACTTTTATTTCTCTGATTTACAGCGATGGCAAGGAGTACGCACTCAAACAGATTGACGGCACGGGCTTGTCCATGTCCGCCTGCAGAGAGATTGCGCTGCTGCGAGAGCTGAAGCACCAGAATGTGATTACCCTCATTCGGGTATTCCTCTCGCACAACGACCGCAAGGTGTTCCTGCTCATCGACTATGCCGAACACGATCTGTGGCACATCATCAAGTTTCATCGTGCAGCAAAGGCCACCAAAAAGCAGGTGGTTGTGCCACGAGGAATGGTCAAGAGTCTGTTGTACCAGATCCTCGATGGCATCCACTACCTGCACAGCAATTGGGTGCTGCATCGTGATCTGAAGCCAGCCAACATCCTGGTCATGGGCGACGGCAATGAGCGGGGCCGCGTCAAGATAGCCGACATGGGCTTTGCGCGACTTTTCAATGCGCCGTTGAAGCCACTGGCCGATCTGGATCCCGTTGTGGTCACATTTTGGTATCGCGCGCCTGAGCTGCTGCTGGGTGCGCGCCACTACACCAAGGCCATAGACATCTGGGCCATTGGCTGCATCTTCGCGGAGCTGCTGACATCCGAGCCGATCTTCCACTGCCGCCAGGAGGACATAAAGACGAGCAATCCGTATCATCACGATCAGCTGGATCGCATCTTCAATGTGATGGGCTTTCCGCAGGACAAGGACTGGGAGGACATCAAGAAGATGCCCGAGCATCACACACTCACCAAGGACTTTAAGCGCTCCACCTACTCGACCTGTTCGCTGGCCAAGTACATGGAGCGGCACAAGATTAAGCCCGACAGCAAGGCATTCCATTTGCTGCAGAAGCTGCTGCTGATGGATCCTAACAAGCGCATCACCTCCGAGCAGGCTATGCAGGATCAGTATTTCCAGGAGGAGCCACTGCCGACGCAGGACGTCTTTGCGGGCTGCCCCATACCCTACCCAAAGCGTGAGTTCCTCACCGACGATGACCAGGAGGACAAGTCGGACAACAAGCGACAACAGCAGCAGCAGCAGCAGCAACAGCAGCAACAGCAGCAGCAACAACAGCAGCAGCAACAGCAGCAGCAGCAGCAGATGAATCCCAACGAGCCGAATGCCAAGCGTGTGCGTCTGTCCGGTGCTGGCAATCAGCAGGATTTCCACCATCAGCAGCAGCAACAGCAGCAGCAGCAGCAACAACAACAGCAGCAACAACAACAGCAACAACAAATGATGTTCAATCAGCAGCAGAATTTCCAACAGCGTTTCAACTGAGAGACTGAACAGCAACAAAAGCATTTTTTTCTACAACTATTTTGACTAGCTGCTAAGTAATTTAATGTCTTTAGTGTATAACAAATAGATCGAGAGAGAGAGAGAGCGAGAGTAATGCAAAAAGTAGTCCCGTGCTAGTACCAATCACTGAAGCGATCTATGGCCCGGCACCACTTGTCCATGCGCTCAACCACCTTCTCGTGCACCTTGGGCCGTGGCTCGAACACTCGTTCCACTTTGCGAAAACACTTCAGATCTTCGACATCTTTCCAGATGCCGTGATTAATGCCCGCCATAAATGTGGCACCCATAATGCTGGACTCGGTATTCTCGGCACGCTCCACCTTCAGGCGGCTGAGATCCGCCAGGAACTGACACACAAAATCATTGCGCGAAACGCCGCCATTGACTCTGTTGGAAGATCACATTAGTGGCGGTTAAATGTGTGCTTAGACGGCTGCAAATTACCTTATCATTTTGAGCTTCTGTGAGGTTTCCTTCTCGGTGGCATCGATCAATTGGACCAGCCTAAAGACGATGCTCTCGAGCAGCGCACGCACCATGTGTGCCTTGGTGGTGGACGGTGTGAGGCCTATAAAGCCGCTAGCAGAGCGATAATCGTTCACAGGTGGCTACAAAACATGGGAAAGGGTGTGATTAGAGCTTGTCCTTGCTTGTATTTGCTTTGTGGCTCCACTCACCCCCAGGCCACTGAATGCGGGCATAAAGAACACATCATTGGTATCCGGCACGGACTCTGCAATGAGCGACGTTTCGTCTGGCTTCTTGAACAGCTCACAGGACTGCGCCCAGGTGACCACAGTGCCAAAGTCATGTGAGGCACCCTCGATGCAGTAGACGGCGCCTTGGTTCTTCGATTTGTTCTTGATTTGCCAGGCCACCAGAGGATACATGCCGCTGATGGCAGCACGACATTCAGAGCCCGTAATCAGGTTGAGAAATGCACCCGTGCCCATGGTGACCTTGACGTCGTTCTTGCTGAAACACTGAGAGCCCCACATGGAGGCCGCTTGATCGCTGAGCGAGGCGGCAATGGGTATGCAGGTGTCCTCCCAATCCGACCCAAAGGCGGCTGGATGTACATGCCCAAAGCCCTTGTAGCCGTTGTCCACGACGCGCGGCAATATCTTTGTCTGGAATGGGAGACCATTAATACATTTCGGAGACCAATTCCGCATTCCTGCACACTCACATCGAAGCCAAAGAGCCAGCTAATAAGCGGCGACCAGCTGAGCGTAAAGGGATCGTACAGCCCGGTGGCTGTGCTCGAGGTTATATCGGTAATGTGCTCGACACTCGTGTCCTTGCCATTGCCAGAGCGCAGCTTGTGGAGTATCCAAGAGTCGAGCAGCTCCACGCGTGCCTTGTTCTCTCGCAGCGCCTGCTTCAGGCACTGGTTGTGGGCCATTTCAAAGAGCAATCGCGGCGTCACCTGACCATTCATCAGCTTGAGCACACTGCCGGCCAGAAAGCGATGGTTTCTCGTGACCAAATACAGGGCATAGGAGACGCCATTCATTGAGCGCTTGGTCCAGCTGCTGTTCCACTGGTCCACCAGTGCGTCGGCACGCAAATCCTTCCATGTGATGAAATTGTGATAGTACTCGCCGGTCTTGTGGTTCCACGTGAGGAATGTACAGCGCTGCGTGGAGATGGTCAGGCAGGTGATCTGCGTGGGCTTCAGTTTGGCATCTGAAATGGGCAGCAGACCGAGAATTAGCAGAAGGAGGGGGTTGGGTAGGGCAGAGCAGCAACACTTACCGCGTATCGCCAGGGTTATCACATTCACAATCTTGCGCCACAAGCTCTCTGGCTCTATTTCGAAAAAGCCCGGCTGCGGATTTAATAGTTCCACCTAACAGACAGAGAGAAAAACATTTCTATTAAACTTTGCCAGCGTCAGTTAACGAATGATACGACCAATTAACCTACCGCATCAACCGCCTGCCCCTTGACCAGACACTTGTCGTCGAGCACAAAGCAGCGGACACAAGTTGTGCCAACGTCCAATGCGGCGATGTAGGCTGGCGGGGCTGGGGCATCGTCAGCTGTGGTGGAGGAGGCAGTCGACATGTTTCTCAGTGCACGCTCCGTATTTCACTGAAATTCGAACTGCTACTGCTACTGTCGCCCCAAGCTAGTGGAAATTGGCTTATCCATTTTGTTGTTGTTGGTGCTTCTCATAGTTAATGCGCGGGGGGTTCAGTTCAAGTTTTGCTTATCAAAGTCGAATGTTTTGTTTTCAATTCCAGCTGATAATCAGTTGGTGGGGGTCAGTGTTGATAAACGCAAACTGTGGAAGAAAATCCGATCCGCCAAACAAAAAAAATAGCTGGTAAAAGAAGAGCTGGGCTAGAGCTGGCTCAGCTAAATGTACCCTGTTTTCTTATATTTTTTGTTTAAATATTATGCTAAACACTTGTATTTATATACACTTCATATGCACTAAATTAATAAATAAAAGTGAATAGCAATTAAGGAATTAAAACTGCAACGAAAACCCGCTGCCACTGAAGAGCACTTCTGAACCAGTGTTGATTAGCGCACAAAAACCCACTGCTGGCGCAAAATAATAAGCTTTTGAAATCAATGAATCGAATGCCATTTGCAATCAATAAAACTATTTAGATAAGAACCGGGTTCTATGTACAACCAGATTATGATTGCTAACATTGCAGGTGGGTTGATAAGCACTCTAAATAATTGCTATCTAATTGCAGGTGTGAGTCACGTGTGATGTGTCCCAGCAGTTCGTAATCTTTGCAAGAATTTTCGTTTTAGAACTTTATTTTTTCTGTTAACATCGACACATGTACAGATACGAATACAGGGTGCATGGGGGTATATATACTACTCATGCTATATATACAGTATAAATATACGCGCATAGATAAACCGTTTATCTAAAATAGTCGCTTGTACTAGTAGGTTAGGCAATAAAATACAATCAACATTTGTTAAACACATCGATTTACACATAGAGTACACAGGGTTAAAGCCTCTCCATCTCCACATACATCTCCATCTCGCTCACCTCTCGCCTTTAGGTACTGGTTTCTCTTTAGAGATATGTCTAAGACTAAATTGTAATCAAACAAAAGGCCGGCCATCGGCTTACATGTCCGTGGGTAGAATGTCGGGTATCAGGTATTGACATAGATCCACCTCATCGCTGACAAACTTCACCTTCTTGGCTGTGTTGTCGTCGAGCAGCACGCGTATGGCCGGCCAAACGGTGGAGAAGAGGCCCGGCGAATTGATAATCAAGCAGACACCAAGGCGCTCGGGAAAGTGCTTGCCCAGCAGCCAGATGAGATTCTGCACCAGCTGGTAGTCCATGCACGAAGTGCTGAACTCGGCGAGATCGAAGACGATGCATAGGCGATCGGTGACCTCCTCGAAGCACTTCTTGCACGCCTCCTCCAGGTTGTAGACAATGAAGCGGGTCAGCTCATCAATGTCACGGGTGGAGGAGCCATGATTCTTGGCCGGGATGTAAATAACTGGACGGCCGATGCAGTCGCGGTGGCGCAGCAGACGCGCCTTGTTCTCTAGCTGGCTGCGGTCCATCTCGGCCAGCTTATCCACGCCATATGTCTCACGCCACTTGTTCGTCTTCAGTATGGCCTGTGTGGGTGGGTTACAAATATACGACGTCAGCTCTGGCGGGGGATGGTGGACTCAGCTCAGGTGACAACTTACTTGGAATGCGTCATCTGTTGTCTTGAAGGCGCGCAGATAGCGACGCAGTGAGAAATCATTGTGGTACTGCTTGGGATCCGCTTCGACAATCAGTTTCATGCGCTCCTTAAGGTCCTTCAGGTCCTGCTCGTTAATTGGCGCCAGCTCCTCGGATGACATATTGTAGCACTTGGTGCTGCCTTATTGGATGAATACTGTATATATATTTGGTACTTTACTCCAGAACCCCTCTCTTTCTAGATATGAAATGTGCTGACACAGAGCAACCGGCGGTTTTATCAATTTATTGTTTTTTTTTTCAACAAATTGGATTTTTACAAGCGCATTCAGTGTGACAGCGGATTTATTGAAAAAATATACGGTCCGATCATAAAGAAATACTGAAATATACCTTAAAATATACCGTCAATATACAGATGACAAGTCATGTTATTCTATTATGATATTCCATTTAATATTACCAGCTAGTTGGAACATTCAGAACTGTAACTTTAGTTTTATACGATTAACGCATCAATTTAATGTTTGCTGAGAGTATAGCTTTTAATTAATATGACTCATAACATACAGCAACGGGGAAATTTATTGCCCACTTTAACGATACATTTGTTTACAGGCAAGAACCTATCGATAACGATTGTCATCTGCCACAGCCATTAATAGTGTATCGACAGTTATTTTTTGAATTGTATATATTGTGTACATGTTTATATATTTTTGTTAATTTAATGTTTTGAAAATGTTAACAATATAAAATGGTGTATTTTGTAGAAGTATGCAACTACAAAATGACATAAAAGAATGCACAACTTCCTTCGGTTAGCCCTAAGTACCAATAACAAATATTTGCTAAATATACAAAAAATGCAGAGATTCCTATAAAAGAGATTATATTGCTCCTGTCGTGAAGTTCATCCTGTAGTTCACTTGGGCACCATCACACGCGCTATGCCCGGCAGCACCTCGGCCTGCAGCGGCCCAAACTCAACGCGTTCGCCATCGATGGTGATGATGCCGTGATTGTCGTGTGGCTCCAACCGGAAGGCTCGCACCGGCAGCACCTTCACGTACTCGTTGTTCACCTCCGGCAGGTGCGTGCCCGTGCTCATGTTGTACAGAAAGCTGAGCAGCTGGGGGCGAGAGATGCCGCCGCGTATTAGGATCAGATAAATGGTTCCATCGTTCATTTGGGCCTTGGGCGCAAAGTGGCAATCGATGCCCAGATGTGACTGATAGACGGCATGCATCATGATGAATTCACCCTCCTCGACGAGCCATCCTTCGTCCTCGGGCAGGGGCTCGTCCAGCTCCGGCAGGCTGCTCGTCGGGCCAAAGTTCTGCTGGCGATTCTCCAGCGAGATGGCAGCCTGAGCTGCAAAGTCGCTGTCATCCGCCAAGCTATGATAGATGCTCTCCGATACGGAATAGTAATAGCTGCGCCGGGACCCGCCCGAAAGCCAGCTATCGCAGCGGGAGCGAAACGATTGATTGATAGACGTCTCCAGCGAGATAACATCCGCAAACTCATGCGGCAGGTACTCGGTGGAATGATGGAAGCTCGGATTGTTGTTGGTTGTGGACAGTTTGTCGATATGGGTGTTGCAGCTCCTACTCGTCTGCATCTTCAACTCCGGTGTGTGCTGGGCATTCTCCTCTGGCTCCGTCAGCAGATAACTGATCTTCCCGTTGTACGTGCGCAGATTCGCCAGGCGGTACAGCGTCCAAATGGTGAAGCGCTGATAGCCAAGCACGCGAATGCGCTCGCTCTCAATGTCCACATCCGAAATGAAGCCCCAGCCGATGGACAGGAAGGAGTAGAGCGAGCGATTCTGCAGCTGCACGCGCACCACATCCATCGGGGAACTGCAGCCACTGATGACGGTCAAAGCGGCACCCAGCACGGGCTTGCTGAAGTACGGTTCGCTGTGGGAGAACACACAAAAATGAGTGATTTATCAATGGAAAGCGATTCATTTTCTCACTTGTATCCGTGTGCAATGGATCTGGCCAAGCCGTTGCCGGAGCCGCAGGGTATAATGCCAAGCGCTATGCTGGGCAGCACCTTGGCCCAGTCCTCGCGTTGCAGCAGTCCATTGACTATCTCGTGGAAGAGTCCATCGCCACCGACGGCCACCACGCAGCACCAGGCATCCAGGCACCGGGTGCTCATAAATTCAATGGCAAAATTGGAATGCTTCGTTACATACAGATCGTAGGGCACCTCGGCCTCATTCAGCACAGGTGTCACATGCATATTGAACACTTCGCGGGCGTTGCCCGAGCCACTCTTTGGATTGAGCATGACCAGAATGCGACGTCGGCGATCCTCCTCGTTGCGCACCACAAAGATGCTCTCCAGCGTGCGATGCAGTTGCCAGCGTAGAGCGCGATACCAGCGATCCGCCTCACGCATATTGTCCTCGAAGGTGTCAAAGGAACGGAAGCGCAGCGTCAGCACCGTGCGCTCCCTGTGGAACTCACTACGCAGGCTCTTCTTTTTCAGGACATAGGCAAAGACATAGAGATAGGCGCTCACATCCCCATCGCAGGTGAAATCCTCCTTGCTGGCCGTGCTGCACTTGCTGGGCGTGGCCCCACTGCGATTGACCGAGGCGGCGGGGGAATTTGGATTGCCGGCGCTGCAGGCGCACGCACTGGCCACAGCCAGGCGTCGCGTCTTTTTCAGGCGCATGCATCGCGCCCCAACAATGTCGCATAGTTTGACAGTCTGCTCCTTGACAATGGTGCCACTGGGCGATTCCCGCTGCAGTGTGAAGCCGTTGATGTCCAGCCGTACCCGAAACACATACTTCCTCCCCTTTCGCTGGCTCGTGTAGAAGGTGTCGCTCACATCGTAGCATTCGGGCAGGGTCGCCCCAGCTACGGGTGTGGAGCACGCTGTGCTGCTGCTGCTCTTCTCATAAGATTCGTTCATAATTTATTGAGATTCGGATGCTTTGCAGCATTTTTAATTTTCGTTTTTTTTCTTCTCCCAAGTATTTATTCGATTACCACGGTCCAAAATCCATCGGTTCGATCATCGTTATCGAATTTGAATGATATTTTTTGCCCATTGTACACAAAACAATTTAACATGACTTGTACTAACTAAAACGACATTAGCTTTCGTCAATTATTATATAGCTTAAAGTTTACTTCGAATGCAATAATATAAACAAAATAATATATCGATATACTCTCGGTCGATTACATAAACAAGTAATTGACATGTAGCAAGTATGTAGTTACTGGGTAAACTATTAATTTTGATTGATGGTATATATTTACGGTATTATTATGAAAACGAAAACGTATAGTTCAGTATATTTCTGACGGTCGGGAAAATAAACGTGGTGCGAATTAATTTCGTGAAATTTGTTTGTGAAAACAAAATTTCAAAGTGAAGTGGTGTTTTTATGTAATAGACGTGCTCGTTTTTGTAACCGGGACGTCATGACTAACAGCCTGGAGTTGGAGGTACCGCTCAAGGTCGCGCGTCACCTAATCGAGCGCGTTGGCTTCGCCTATTTCAACGCACGCCGCAAAATCGCGCCAGGTGGTGTCGAGCGCAGTGAATCCGACGAGAAGTTGGAGGGCGTCGGCGAGGAGGTGGACATCAGCTACCTCAAGTCCCTAGATCCCAAGGAATGGAAGGACCAAGATCACTACAGTGTCCTCGGCCTGGGAAAATTGAGGTAAGTGATGGCTCCCCTCAACCACATCTAGGCCTGACCAGGCCTCTTTGTGTGTGTGTGTGTGTGAGTGGCTGTGCCAGTGTGTTGTCTGCAGAGCACGTGTCTGAATTGCGGAGTATGTGGGTGCGTCTCTCTTCCCCTTTGCAGATTCGAAGCCAGCGACGATGACATTCGTCGCGCCTACAGACGCATGGTGCTGCAGCATCACCCGGACAAGCGAAAAGCCAAGGGTGAGGTGGTGATCAACGACGAGGACTATTTCACATGCATAACAAAGGCCTACGAGATATTGGGTAACGTAACATAATTCAATCTTTGCTTAAGTTTTGTGTTTAATCCATCCACCACCGAACATCCAGGCACTTCGAAGGCGCGACGCAGCTTTGATTCAGTGGATCCCGAATTCGATGATTCGCTACCCACTCAAACAGACATCGACAATGATTATTTCAAAGTATTCAATAAAATGTTCAAGCTGAATGGACGCTGGAGCGAGCGGCCGCAGGTGCCAGTCTTTGGCGAGGTGGACGCCAAGCGCGAGGAGGTTGAACGCTTCTATAACTTCTGGTATGACTTCAAATCGTGGCGTGAGTTCAGCTACCTGGACGAGGAGGACAAGGAGAAGGGCCAGGACCGAGATGAGCGTCGCTGGATCGAGAAGGAAAACAAGACGGCGCGCATCAAGCGGAAAAAGGAGGAAATGAGTCGCATACGTGATCTCGTCAATTTGGCGTACAACAACGACAAGCGTATACAGCGTTTCAAGCAGGAGGAGAAGGATCGCAAGGCGGCGGCAAAGCGGGCCAAAATGGATGCCGTCCAGGCACAAAAGGCGGAGCAGGAGAAGGCTGTACGCGAGGCAGCGCTGGCCAAGGAGCGTGCCGACAAGGCTGAACAGAAGCGCATCGAGCTAATCCGCATTGAACGCGAGCAGCAGAAGAAGGTGCTCAAGAAGGAGCGCAAAACGCTTCGGGACAAGGTCAAGGATTGCAAATACTATGCCAAAAACGACAAGGATCAGCTGAAGCACATGGAGGGCACCGAGAAAATTTGCGAAACGTTTAACCTGGCCGAGCTGCAGGCACTGAACAAGGCCATGGAGTCCAAGGGTCGCGAATCCTTTGTCGCTGCTCTGCAGACAGCCGATCAGAAAATCGCCGCCGAACTGGAGCAGTTCAACCAGACGCAGCAGAAGAAGCTGGCCACTGCCGCTGCACCCAAAGCTGCCGTCAAGGAGGTGAAGAAGGGCGAACTCTGGAGCAACGAAAATGTGCAGCTGCTCATCAAGGCGGTGAATCTGTTCCCTGCAGGCACTGCCCAGCGCTGGGATGTCATTGCCACGTTTATCAATCAGCACAGTGGCTCGGGAGGAGCTCAAGTGCTGGCCCGGGATGTACTCAACAAGGCCAAGGCTCTGCAGAACAGCGATCACTCCAAGAGCAGCCTCAAGACGCAGGCCAACGATGCCGCGTTTGCCAGCTTCGAGAAGTCCAAGAAGGAAGTGCAAGTCTCAAATGACATAACCATTGGCGAGGAGGCGCCCTCGCAGGAGAGCAAGGAGAATGTCAAGCAGAACGGTGGCGCTCATCCCAATCAGGTGAACAATCAGAAGCCCAAGCAGAACGGCATAGCGACGCCAGCAGCAGCTGAAGCTGCAGCGGGAGCGGGAGCAGGAGCACCAGCGGCTGCACCCATGACCAATGGCACTGGTGGTGGCGCTGCTGCATCCAAAACCTGGACCAAGGAGGAGCAGGCACTGCTTGAGCAGGCAATCAAATCTTATCCGACCACGACACCCGATCGCTGGGACTGCATTGCTGCATGCATACCGAATCGCAGTAAAAAGGATTGCCTGCGACGTGTCAAGGAGCTGGTCGAGCTGGTCAACTCCAAGAAGGAGGCACAGGCGGCGACCAAATGAGACGCAACCGAACCCACACTACACTACTCCTCCTCTTCTAGCTGCTGTGTCCCATATAAATTTTATTTAAATAAAACATAAAAAGTTTTTTGAACGTTTAGCGAAAAGTTACATCCAAAGATTCTCCTTCCGTTTTGACTAGCTAATTTCCACAGGTATGCCAAGATATATATTTGTAGATGTAAGTTGTAGATTGGATGGGCCAATCTTATGTCTGCTCCGCCACGCTGCGTCCTCCACTGAGTTTTAGGTCGAACGCCTGCGGATTGGCGAGGGGATCCAAATCGGCAAAGAGGTCCAACCAGGGGTTGTTGGTCGTCTGGGACTTGCTAGCTGTCGTGGCGCTGGCTATCTTCGTGGCTGTGGTGGTTGGCATGGGCTTCTGTTGCTGCTGCTGCTGCTGTGGCTGATTGAACATGCGTGCCCAGAACTTGCTGTTGCTGTTGCTCGTGTGATTGGCATCCATCAGTGGAGAATCCTGCTCCACGGCAGCATCAATCAGCGGGCTATCTTCCTCCAGCTGCTTGGAGAGTTCGATGAGCAGCGACTCATTGTCACCGCAGGCGGGTGCGGCGGCTGGCTCTGACTGTGACTCCCCACTGGCAGGCGGCTGCTTTGTGTCTGGCTTGTCTTGATATTCACTCTGCAAAGGAAGACACATTCAAGTGCATGTCACCCTAAGGTACGGTAAACTCACAGCAAAGAACAGCGATTGATCCTTGTCGACAGCCTCAATGGGCGGCACCTCCTCGCTGGGTCCCTCATTTTGGGACAGCTCCTTCAGCACACAAAAGTCGTACTTGGGCTTGGCAATCAGCGCATTGGATATCGTCTGGAATGTGGAGGCGGCCTTCTGCGCGAAGCTCTTCAGCTCTGCCACGTAGGCGACCAAAGCATGCGAATACATATTGCAGCGTGCCGCAGCCAGCAAATCAATCTGGAAACAAGCGAATCAATCAATCAATCATCCCTTGGAAGTGCTTGACCCACCTTCTGTATAGAGTCCAAGGAGTAGCCATCGAAATTGTGTTTGGCCACGCGCACATGTGCCTGGGCAGTGCGAAACTTGTCCAGGCCCTTGCCCGTGTCAGGGTCCAGCTCCTGGCTGGCCGACTTCATCCAGCAGAGGGCCGCACGGTACTCCGTTCGCTCCTTCTCCATGTTCTGCAGCGTGCCCTCAGTATCCTTGACGGCGCGACAGCGAAACACATCCACCTCGTGCTGCAGTCGCAGCAGTGGCACCCGCACACACATCCGCTGCTGCCCCGCAAAGGACATGGCCTTCGCCGTGTGATTGATGCTGTTGCCCGTCGTCTTGCTACGCTTGCCCGCCTCTTTCAGAAAGCGTCCAAAGACACACTCCTCCTGCGACAGGATGCACAGGCGCTCCTGGTACTGGTCTATTATCTTGCACAGCTCCAGGCTGGTGTCCGATATTGATTTGAAAACCTCTATCTTGGCGTCGAGCTCCGCGTCCGAGGAAATGATGTGCTTGTCCTCCTTGGAGCCTAGCTTGCGCTGCACCGCCTTCTTGGTGATCCAAAATTGGTGTTGCACCTCGGATTTTAGCATATTTTCGGGGATGCTGGTGCATACGTTAAAAAAAATGGAACAAGTGAGTGGAAAAAACGAGTGAGGCAGCGACGTCGGCAGCGCTGTCGCCACTGAAGCGTTGCTATTTCCCGACTTTGATATTCACTTTAGAATAACTAGCTAGTTAGAGCCATAGACACCGAAGATATAATTTTAACCAATAAATTAATATATTTTCTACAAGTCTGTTTAACTTTAAGTACTTTTTGTTATTGCAATGCTTATTAAATATAGTTAAAATAAAGTAAGGTGGAAAAGTGCCACAATCCAAAATTAAGTTTATTACATGACAACTACACAGGTATGATATTTTCATGGTGCCCATTAATGTTTAGTATTATTTTGTATTTGTAAAACCAAAAGGTCACATTGGCTGTTTGAATGTGAGTATGAAAAGCTTTTAAAAGAACGAATTCAGCTTTAAATAAAGTTCTTTGCATTAGATTTCCATTTAACCATCCATCAGCATGTATCAAAAATACATTTTGGATACGCAACTTATCCGTGCATTGATTAGAAGAGAACATTAGGGGAGAGAGAACCGACAGTTAGAATGTTGGAAGAGAGCGAGAGACACCGCGAAACTCGCATTGGTCACACTGAATCTGGGATTTATTAGTCCGTTTTTACCGCGGGAAATCTTCATCTCGGCTCGCCGTCGTCGTCGTCAAGTGCATCCATTTCTCCCATTTCTCTCTCTGTTTTGGCGCTTGGCGCTGCGCTGGGGCTGCATTCAACGGGATCCACAAAACGTTTAGTTTCGTTTCGTTTGGCGTCTTCTCTAGTTTTATTCTAGCCACGACAAATATTTACGCAAGTGCTGAGGTCCGCCGTGTAGCGTCGCGAGTTTGTTTGTATGAGTGTGTGCTAAAGCCGGTGGACAAGGGGTCTAAAGTTCGAGTGGAGTCCGAATCGAGTTGGAGCTGCAATCGCAATTGCAATTGCAATTGAAAGCGACACATATTTTGCGGTTTTGCTAATTTGCTGGACAGGTATGTACGAATGTGTATGTTAGTTAGAGTAAGTGTAAGCTGCACACAGGTGCACGCATATGCAGTTACAGTTACTTTCAGTACACGGGATGCTGTGGACACTACACACAAACACACACACACACACACATACGCAATGGTTGCAGCAGTAGCAGCAGCAGCAGCAGCAGCAAGAAGAAAGTGAACAAGTGTGTGCAAAAGTTTAGTTTTTTCTTGCAATCAAAAACGGGTTGTGAGCAGAGCAGAGCCGAGCCGCGCTGCCTGCTTGCCTGCCTGCCGCCACCTGCAGAAGCCGGGCATACATATGCGTGGGTGTGCGTGCGTATGCGTGTGAGTGTGACTGTGGCCCAGCTATATAAATTGATTGTATGCCGAGCCGTGCCGTGCCCCCAAGTCGCGGTGGCACAAAGATAATGCCACTCTTCTCCCGTCTTTTAACACCAACGGCGCGTGACTGGTGGAGCTAGAGGGGGGTACACTACCTACCTTACCACTTGGGGCAAGCCGCTCGCGCAATTAGATTCGGTCTCTGCTCCCCCCTTCAACAAATATACTCGTAAAATCCAAAAAAGAACTCGAATTGAAAGAAAGACAGAAAAAGGTCACGGCACTTGCTGCCACAAGCTTGGATGGGCGCACAGCCAAACAAAATAAAAGCTGAGGCCGGCTCGTTACCAGCCTCTCACCACCTTCAAAAGCCGCACTCCGCCTTGGGTAAACAATGCAGCCGCCGCAGACGCTGCCCCCCCCCCCCCCCCCCCCTCCCCCCCCCCCCCCCCCCCCCCCCTCTCTTCGGGAAACCCATTCACCACCCCCGCTTTTTTTTTTTTTAAAATTAAGCTTGAACCCCTTGCTCCCCCATCGTTTCTTTAGAATATATAACGTTACAGCAGACAATACGAAACATTTCTATTTACTCTCCTTCCTAATTCTCCTCCCCCTCCCC